ATCACGAAGGCATTTTATATAATAGGTGTTGAATTACTGGATAGATTTGCTAATTAAATACTCTTTGTTCTGCTGCAGTTGACATTACAGGGTAAGATCTTGAACAATTATTCTCAACAGCTGTACTTTGTTAAGGGAAAAATTAACCACAAAGTTTATTTTTTTACACTTGAAGTTGGCAGATTTTTGAAATGTGCTTGAAAAAATTCCATCATCCAATTGGTAATGAGTAGATAAATATGCAGGTGTTGCTGTGAAATCAGATAACTGCAGACTGCCTTATTAATGAATTTAGCGAGCCTTTATAGCCCTATTTTCTAGCCCCTGGCACTTATAAAATGATTTTCTGTCAGAATGGGTAGCTTTAATATTAGACATGTCACATTGAAGTGAACTTATGAACAGTCATCTTGTAATCACTCTACCTTGTGTCCAGTAGACCTTTCTGGGTACCTATGTCTATTTTAAAAATGCATTTTCTCAATGGGGAAACTATCTATAATATATAAGTTTTCAATTGTTGACTTCTAGAACATTTCATGTGGATTGGGTGTCTTAATAAGGCAAGAAGACATAATGAAGAAAAAAAAAACCAATAATGTCCAGGTTTGTGTGGTTTGGATCAGCAATGTTTCCCAAAGGCTTAATTAAGTGTTGAATACTTGGTCCCCAATGCAGCAATGTTCAGAGGTGGGACTTTTGACAAGTGGTTGGGTCATGAGAGCCTTGATCTCATCGATGGGTTTAATCCATTGATGGATTTATAATTGAATGGACTATTGGGAGGTAGTGTAAACATTAAGGGATTAGGTCTAGTTGGAGTAAGTAGGTCACTGGTGACATGCCCTTAAAGGGTATATTTTAATACCCGCCCCACTGCTTCCTGGCTGCCATGAGGAAGTGACCATGAAATCATGAGCCAAAATAAATCTTTACTTCTTTAAGCAGTTTCTCCTCAGGTATTTTGTCATAGTGACAGAAAGCTGACTAACACAACCTTCTAGGTAAGTTCTTGACTAATTATTTAGGCAAAAATTTCAGTCTAATTTTCCTCCTTTGTTACATGGGGCTTATGATACAACCTACCCTTTAGGAGTTTTCATTTAGCATTCTATAAATATTTATTAATAATTCCCATATACTCGGTGGGCCCTCTGCTAGATGCTAAGAATTTTGGTGTACTGGGTATACAGTAGCTGAGCCCACTCCAGTGAGCAGTTGAGAGTTGAGGGCTGTACCTGAAGGCAGCTTTGGGGTAATCCTGCCATTAGTACGTGGATAGGTATGGCACTGAAGAGAGCACTATGGTACTCAGAACTGCTAAGTGAAAAAGCATGAGAGGATAGGACTCATAATGGTTGTGGGCTTTCTTGTTGGCAAACTGGTAAGGACCTTGAGCCTGAGACAGAACATTGTTATTAGCTCCTGGTGAAGACCACTGGAAAAGATGGTGGTTAATATGACCCACAGAAATCGGTACAACTTGTGTGGAGAGCTGTTGAGCTATATTTATATTTAAAAAAATTAAAACAGAATCTTTGACCCAGTGAGTCCACTCAGCAGTCTTTTATCTTTTTTACTGACAAATTTGTAAATTACATGTGTATAAGGATTATTTGTTGAAGTATATTTACAATGATAAAGATTAGAAGCAACCTACAATTGTGAGCCAGGCTCAATGGTGCATGCCCATAATCCCAGCAGCTTGGGGGACTGAGGCAGGAGGATCACCAGTTCAAAGCCAGCCTCAGCAAAAGTGAGGCACTAAGCAACTCAGTGAGACCCTGTCTCTAAATAAAATACAAAATAGGGATGGGTATGTGGCTCAGTGGTTGAGTGCCCCTGAGTTCCATCCCTGGTACTCTAAATAAAGAAAGAAAATAATAGTGTATTATGTAGTCATTAAAAAAGAATGAAGTTGCTGTGGGCTTGGAAAGTTCCTAAGATGAAGGTGTTAGTTGAAATAAGCAGTTGTAGCAGAGTCTGCAGTTTACCGTATTTGTTAAAAAATAAATCCACCAAAAGTTTTCTGCCACTAGAGGGGAAATTGTTTTGTTAGCAGCCCTCTGATTATGCATGGAAATGGTTGTGAGTTGGTGGAAGAGGGATCAAAAAGGTGAAGGTTGCCAGTTCCCATAGAAAATGTACACAGGGATGACATAGTAGCTTTGGTGCACATTGTGAAAGAAGAGTAGAAGAAATTGGTCACTGAATATGTTATAGTGAAAGTGTCACAAGTTGTTCCTGAGATACTTTACTTAGTAGGTAGCAGTACTACCTTATGGAATTGTCCATTGTGATGTGGAAAGCTCAGCCTTGCAGGTGGAAGGGGGATAGGGTAGAGAGAACTCTTGATAAGTAGTTCTGTCCTCACTATGATTAACTTGACCTGGGGTGATCTCGTTATTGCCCTTTTCCCAAAGGAATTGTCAGGTTTTCTCCCATAATACATATCCCTGTAATTTAAATGTTAAAGATGAAGATGAAGTGGAGGAGAATGTTTTTTTTTTAAAATAAGTTTACTGAATTTTAGTGTCTAGTAAAAAAAGTAATTGTGATTACTATGCAATATATCAGTTGACTGGTACAGGTTTTTTGAGTACCTGTTATATGTGAAGTCTACAGTTAGGCACAGATGTGCACTCTAACCTCTTGAAGCTTGTAGTCTAGTCGGGGAGGGGAACAAGCAGTCAATAAATAACATAAAACTTCATTTGCTTGCTAGAAGAAAACAGCAGGTCCATGTCAGAAAAGAATCATTTTGGGTTGGGCTTTATGAAAGAAGGGTTTTTAAAAAATTATTTTTTGTAGTTGTAGGTGGACACAAAAACCTTTGTTTTATTTATTTATTTTATGTGGTGCCGAGGATCAAACCCAGTGCCTCACACATGCTAGACAAGCACTCTACCACTGAGCCACAACTACAGTCCCATGAGAGAATGGTTTTAACTGAGGTTTTTTTTTTTTTTTTTTTTTTTTTTTTAAAGAGAGAGTGAGAGGGAGAGAGAGAATATTTATTTTTCAGTTTTTTGGCGGACACAATATCTTTGTTTTGTATGTGGTGCTGAGGATCGAACCCGGGCCGCACACATGCCAGGCGAGCGCGCTACCACTTGAGCCACATCCCCAGCCCCTTAACTGAGGTTTGTAAAATGCAATCACAGGAAGAGGACTGGGGAAAAAATTAGGTAGGGGACACACTTGCATGAAAAGATGATATCTGTACACTATAACTGTTGGAAGACTGGGAAATTTGTCCTGCCTGGCAAGAGGTTTTATGTAAGGGAATAACAGGCTGTATAGGTGGAGCTGGGCTTTGGGTGCCATTGCAGACCTTGGGCTTGATCATGTCAGCATTGAAAACATTAAGAAGATTGATGGTGATTCAGGGTAAGTCAATGAGATCTAAAGCCAATTAGAATGTTGCTTTAGAGGTGTTAGCAAGTTATGTTTCAGTTATAACAACATGGCCATGGAGTCAGGTGTTTTCCACCTTGTGGCCTGCCCTTCTCAGTATGTTAGCTTGTACTTTGAAACATATCCCTTTGTGATTACAGTGTTGGTTGTCACTGCTCCAAACAGCCTTGTCTAAAAGACAGTTCAGTTTTTCTTCCCACCTCTTGTCACGAAGGAAAATGTTTCATGAAAGATTCCTAGAAGAAATTTCCTTACCTTTGATAATTTAGGATTATGTTGTCAGGTGCATGTGCCTAAACTGATCGACAATTCCAGAATTGAATTACCATGTTTATCTTAGGCCAATGGTTGTTGACTCAGCTTGCAACATAAGCTTTTCAAAAGAGACTGCTGGGCCAGGTATTGTTTTTTAAAGATACCCAAGTGATTCTACTGTACAACCATATTAAAATCACTGGCTTAGCTTAAAAGGAATTCACTACTACCTACCACTCTTAGGGTGGAAAAGGAAGGGCTTCCTTCTCTACAAACTTAAGGAACATTTGAACAAAATTGGGAGATAATAAGAAAGGCAAGTGGATAATAAAAGTGGAAAGTAAGTGTAAAAGATGCTCCAAAGACAAGATTTACAAAAATTCATAGCATGGGGGACAGGAAAGATGGAATTGATCCTGTGAAGTTTGAGCTTAGTTGACAAGGAGGACTACTGCCTGGCCCACTGGAAAAGTGACTTATGGTTTAGACTGATGTTTTGAAAGATGGGTAGTGATGGACAGGTAGTAGAATGGAGTGACTGAGGCTGTGGTTTTGGAATCAAAGTGCCTCCGTTTATGTTCTTGTTCTGCCATTACTGAGACAAACTAGATACTTTGTCTTTTGGTATCTAACAAATTGAGGTATTAATCAGTAGTGGCTACTTCTTGGGGATTTTGGAGAAGGAAATGAGAAAATATACAAGGTGTTCCCAGCACAGTATCAGACACATATGTTTGAAAAGCTTGCTGTCTGTCCATTTCTCTCTGAGTCCTCACTATGTTATATATGTTGCTTCTGATTAGGCCCAAGTAATCTAGTTATCCGTATTTTTGTCTTCATTAATTGACTATTGAACCCTGCCTTTTTACTGGGCACTCTGCTAGTTCCAGGCAATACAGTGGAGATCTACTTTCTGCTTTCAAGGATTTTAGTCTAGAGAAGAATTTTAAATCTAGTGGAGATGCATACACATCTGTGGCTTTTTTGAAATCATGCAGGTCTATTTAAATAACAGTAATGAAAATGTTTCCTTTTGCCATATTATAAAGGGATTGTTTATTATGTGTTTATCAAAGATATGTAGAACTATAGATATATATATATATCTGCTTGCATATATATATCTGGTTAAGAATCAGCAGAGAGGCAAACATTTTTAATTATGTTGATATTATTGCTTTGAGGGTTGTTGTTAGGAAACCTTCAAGAGCTTTAGAGCTTTAAAGATACATGGGAATAGCAAATCATGGAGTTTCCTATCTATTTATGTTTATATTTAGAGTTTTGTAATTGTATAATACATTAATCTTGATTTTTGTTTCGTTTAGATTTTGATGCATACAAAAGAGATGGTACAGAAGGTAATGCTGAGCATTTTCATTATATAACAACTCTTAAATATCATACCTGGTGACGTTTTTGTATTCAGGGAAAATTGTAACCCAAACATTACTGAAAATTGCTTCTTAGGATGCCTAGTTTACATTTATAATCCCTCCTAATGGATTACAGCTTTTTTCTTGTACCAACACTGATATGATCTAGCCCCTGCTTGAAGCCTATATGTGAGCATTTCAGGCAAATTAGTAACAGTGCTAATTAGAGTTTATTTCCAGGCCTTTATACTGTATGTTCTCCAGTGTTGTTTGTTATGATTGATTTTTTTGGCACTGTTCATATTCTACTAAATACTGTTTGAAACTGTTAAGAATTTAATATGGATTTGTGCCCCAGAATTTTTAAAATCCATTATGTTTCTGCTCCTTAAATTGCTGTGACCACTAAGCATGTGGTACAGTGGATAAATATAGGCCTCGTTTCCTAGCCGCTTGTTCTCCTTCTCATGATTAAATTCCATATTTTGTTTCAATTAAACTAGACACAGTTCTTTTCCACTCTGTTTTAAGAAAAATTGAGAGGTTTTCTTAATGTTGTAGTGCTCACCTTTCCAGTTTGTAGATGCTTAGTATTCAATCACCTGTCCTGACAATACAGAAAAATAATTTTAAATTTTTGAAAAGTCAGTAGAAACTGTCATTTCTATAGTATGGAAAACATTTAGTTTTATTGTGTATAATAGTCACTGAATTTGTTGTTAATTTTTATAATTTTGACTTTTCATTAGATGAATCTTGAAGTTATTTATGGAGATACAGATTCAATTATGATAAACACCAATAGCACCAATCTGGAAGAAGTATTTAAGTTGGGAAACAAGGTAAGATAACTTGATGAAATTATTTTACCCAGTTTTGTGAATACGATTTTTAACATGGAATAACATAAATTCTTATGTATGTGCATGTGTGTTTCTGAAAATAATAAATTTGATGCTTCTGAATTCTTTATTCTCTTATGTTTTTTATACTGTACTCCAAATAATGGTTTTGAGGGTAAAATTCTAAGGTAATTGTTTATTCCTTAAGTGATAGATACATTTTTTTCCTTTGACAACAGTCTATGTGATGTATGTTTAAGATGTGATCACGTTAGCATTTACCACATTGTCATTCACAAGGAAATATATGTCTAGTGGTATTCAGATATATTTTATACATAGATATAGGTAAATACCTGCCTACCTACACCCCCCTATTCCTATAATTTTTTGATGGTGTTGGGAATTGAACCCATTCTAGGCAAGCACTATAATACCAAGCAACATCCCTAGCCCACAAACTATAATTCTTTTTGGGGGGGGGTGGGACAATCAGGGATTGAATTCAGGGACACTGGACCACCGACCCCAGCCCTGTTTTGTATTTTACTTAGAGACAAGGTCTCATTGAGTTACTTAGTGCCTCGATTTTGCTGAGGCTGGCTTTGAACTAGCGATCCTCCTGCCTCAGTCTCTTGAGTCATTGGGATTACAGGTGTGTGCTACTGCACTTAGCCAACACCTATAATTCTTACAGGAGTATTTAAAGTATATCTGAAAAGGCAAGGAGACATTTAGAAATAATCATATGTAGCATTTTTCCAAATAAAAATTAACAACTGGCAAGTGTTTCTTGAGCACTTGCTATGTTAAGATATTGTTCCAATAAACTAAAAATGAAGATATTATCTTTATAACCTACCAACTTCTGATTCCCGCCCCCCTCCCCGGAAAGTGTAGAATTTAAATTTTACTCTTCACTTGAGAGCAGGCTGGAATATTGCACTCATTTCTACTGGGCCTTGAAAAGCTTCAGTTTTTCCCTAGGGATGATGGTCTATGTATTGCCAGTGTTGGAAAGAGAAGAAACTTGGTTTATTTTTTTCAGCATGTAGTTATTTGCTTATATTTAAGGAGCTAAGGGATATCTTAGGCATTGTTTTAACATTTCTGCCCACACATCTACTTATTGAACTATTTTAATTGCTTACTAAGTCAGTAGTTTGAAGGAAAGTACATATGTAGTAGGCCATTTGATTCACAGAAGACTCATAATTTCCCATAATTTACGCATATTTCCTGAGCCTGGTCCAGCCAGTTCAGTCCTTTGTTTGAGAATGATGATACATTATTGCCTTTATTTTTCTAAATTGGTTTTTATTCTTTGTTTTTCAGTGTCTTTGCATTGTACCCACTATAAGACCACACTACATTTAAGCCAAATAAGTGCCTTCTGATCTTATATCACTTCAAGTTTTGCTTAGATTAATTCTTATGAAATTGAAGAATGTTCATCTTCTCCCTGTCAGTTTAAAAGCTAACATTAATGTTTGAAATTTTCACAGGTAAAAAGTGAAGTGAATAAGTTGTACAAACTGCTTGAAATAGACATTGATGGTGTTTTCAAGTCTCTCCTACTACTGAAGAAAAAGAAATATGCTGCTCTGGTTGTTGAACCAACATCAGATGGGAATTACGTTACCAAACAGGAGCTGAAGGGATTAGATATAGTTAGAAGAGATTGGTGTGATCTTGCTAAAGACACTGGAAAGTGAGTTCAGCTTTCAGTTTTGCTTTTGTTGTTTGTCTTTTAAAAATTCAGATGTTGATCTAGAAAATGCCTATAAGTCTGCTAATCATAAGGATATAATAATTTTTTATTAATATTTCATATTAATAGTCCAAACTTATTTGAAGTAGAATTTTACAATTAGATGAAAAGTTAGAAAAAGCCAGATTTGCTAGGTAAGAAATGCTTGCTGTCAGATGCTATCTCATGAGTTTTAACTCATGGTGAGGGTAAACTTTCACATTTGGATGGTTATAGAGTTGATTTCATAGATGTTGGTTTGTTTTGTTTTAATTTTCCTATTTTGAAAGTGCTTTGTTTTGTGCCCTGGGATCTTCCTGGAGCCTGTTTAGGAACATAATTGCTAAAATTTCCCCATTTCATGGCTTAAAATATTCTGGAATTCAAAATGGGGCACAGAGTGAGGCTTTGTTCCCTTCATATCATTTGTGTATAAAAGAGTTGTATTAACTTCAGATTGATTTAAGAGTTCTCAAATATTGTGGGTGCCTCAGGAATAATAAATGTCATAACTTACTCCTTTGCTTTGTAACTGGGACTGAAGATTGTGATAATAAGACCTGTGTGTATGAATTTTTTAGGGTCATGTTAATGTATAAAGCACCTATTTAAAAAATGAATTTGAGGTACTTTATATACCAACTTTCAGATACTCCTATTTTGTGAATTGGATCAATTCTGAAAGTAGAAAAATTTTTTTCTTTACAGCTAGATTTTAATTTTTGCTAAATACCAGCATTTTTTAAACTTATTTTCCAGTGTTCTTCTGCTTTGAAGTTGGGAGATTGAGCAATTGTTGCTTCTGCAAAACTACTCTTGATTAGGCAAAGTTGATCATCCAAGTATGGGTCATGGTTAGCTTTTTATGAAATGTAGTTTGAAATGCTTCATTGCCCCCAAATGTACCCAAAGATGAAACTACTTTGTATAGACTGTCGATTAGAGTGTTCTCTTTAGCTTTGTGTTTTCTAAGAAAAGATGCATCATAATAGAAGTAAATTTCTCTGAGTTAGAAATGTATTAGTAATTAAAGCTATACAAATGTTTTTGTCAGGGTTCTTTTTCTGACAAATTATAATGCAGCTGTCAAACTCTCGCTCTGCATTTTCTCAGAAATGGGTAAAATATTGGCTTTCTTAACTTCTTTTTCCTTTTCCTTTGGGTTTGGTAGAATAACATGAATTTTTGAGGAATAATGTAAGGTTGGAGAATACTGACCAATTTATAATGAAGCTGAAGAAAGAGCTTTATATTTCTACTCATCTAATACTGGTCATCTCAGATGGAAATATCTTGATGATACCAGAGGTAGTATCGTAGTGCTTTATGAGGAAAGTGAAATAATTATCTTCTAAAATTTTAACTTATGGGTAGAATATAACTGCTTGAGAATTTTATAATTGCATAAAAATATATGGAACACACATTTTTCTCCATTGCACTTTGTATGAAGCATCAGCTACCACATAAATGAATGTTCTCTATGTCTAAGGGCAAACCTGACCTTCCAAGGTTGGTAAATCTTTGGTACAGTTAGTATTAAAAAACAAAGAGTAACTGCCTTTTGGACATATTAACCTTATATTAGCTGTTAGTATAGCTTTTATCCATACATTAATCTAATGGCATGTGTCTTTCTTTTCTCTATTTAAATAATAAAATATGACATTTTAAAAATTCAATTTCTCTCTTCTCTCTTCTCTCTCTCTCTCTCTCTCTTTTTTTTTTTTACAGCTTTGTCATTGGCCAGATTCTTTCTGATCAAAACCGGGACATTATAGTAGAAAATATTCAGAAGAGGTTAATAGAAATTGGAGAAAATGTGCTAAATGGCAGTGTCCCAGTGAGCCAGTTTGAAATTAACAAGGTAAATGTAGCATTTATTGCTGAGCCCAGCTGCTGTCATGTGTTTTTCTCCTCCTTCAGATAGTTGAAGAACCACCTCGTCCTTGCAATTTAAATAAATTCTAGCTGGTGGTGCAAGCTGCTTAACAACTATCTTGCAGATTGAGCATTAGCCTACCTCCTCCATCCACAGGTCCTGCTATGTCTTCCACAGAGGCCTTCCAGATTTCTTACTTTAATTCTTGAAAGCCTGGTTTCCAAAGGTTCTGGGAGTGATATAATTTATGATCAGGCACTTGTAAACACTGTATTCTTCATAAACCTCCCAAGTAATACCTGTTTGTAGCACAAGTGTATAAACTTGGTGCTTGCATGTGTACACATATGTGTAACTTCACAGATGGTGATCCCTAGAGGTAGTGTATTCAGAAGACGTTTGGGGACAGTTATTTAGAATTAAGATGGTGGTAACACTTTCTGTATATTCAAAGAATTTACGCTTTATTAAAATTTTAAAAACCTTTAAGTTGCACTTTATGGATAGTTTTAGTTGTTAAAATAGGAAATATTTTTCTTACCTAATTTGAAAAACAAAATCTTGATTTCTAAAGTGCTGTGTAATAAGCAAGATGTTAGGTTAATAGATTTTTTTTCCATTTGAAGAGAGTACCCTTACATATTCAGAAGCTAATTTGCAAATACCACTTTACCCATTTTGTAATAGATTTCTTTGTCAAAGCTCATACAAAAAAATTTTAATGAAAAAGAATCTAATGATGACATTAAAAATAATTTTTAGAATGAAAACTCATTCATAATACCCCTATGCTAAAGTAATGCTTGTCACTTTTGCATATTTCCTAACACTTTTACGTGGCCCCAACTGTAATATATATTATTTCAAAACCTATTTTTACTGAACATAAATATTTTTCTACATTTCCATATTATCTTAAAATCATAATCAGTATACTTATTGATAAACTATTTTATGATATGTATTTATTTAAAATATTTGTTTGCTGATTATTTTTCTATTATGTAATAACTACTGAATATTTTTATTGACTTATCTTTTGTTTTTAAATGAGTTGCATTTGTATATTGGTTCTTTGAAATATATTTTTTAAATATTGATGGGCCTTTATTTTATTTACTTATATGTGATGCTGAGAATCAAATCCAGTGCCTCACACATGATAGGCAAATGCTCTACCACTGAGCCACAACTCCATCCCTGAAATAAAATTTTGAAGTCCAAAGATATAAATATCTGTATGGTTCTTGCAAAATTGCTTTGTAAAACGGTTATCAGTTAATAATAAACAAACATGTGTGCTGTCTTCATCACACTTTGCTTGTAGTGGTGATGATTTTTAAAAATTACCATGCTATCATAATGAATGTGCAACTATATTTCACAGTTGGATTTAATTTGTATTTCTTTGACTCTTAGAATGAATATTTTCTGTGTATATACTTAAAATTTGTATGTATTCTTAGGTGAGTTTTTTGTAACCCACAACTTGTTTTCATGTCTCTAATGTCAAAGAAGATGATATATATATATATATATATATATATATATATGGAATATTTGCCATGACATTAGCTCATCCCCTTAAGTGATGCAGGATATATATATATATATTGGCATGGAGTCACTTGTGCCATTTAAAAAGTGGTTTCCTTTGAGGTATTGCTTTATTTCTTTTTCAAAAATTTGCATAAGTATAATGACTTCAGTCTTCTTATAGTCAATTCTTACATCTATTCTACATATTGTATCCCTGATTTTTTTTCTACCTTCCTATCCCACAGGATTCCAGGGATGAGTTTAGAAGGGTTGGTACAAGCATAACTGTATTACTGACAAAATAAGTAAGCACACTTCCTCTAGGGTAGTGGGCCTACACTGTTGTCTTCTCATATTATAGGTGTATCTTCAGGTTCTGATCCATAGTCTATGTTGTTTTATTATTTTAAGTGTTTATTGATAAACTTATACAACTTTAGACAGAATAGTATCATGAATCCCCATGTATTCATCACTCAGCTTCAATAATTGTCATCTTACAATAACATATTATTACTAATCAGAGTTAACATGCTTCATGCATAGTGGGTTAGGGGATATGCATGCATTCTTCAATGGCAGAACTGATACTGACTTACTATATTTATAGTCTCCATATTGCATATGATAGTTGCTGGCAAATAATATCTACTCAGTAAGCTTTGAAATAAGTTATTTGCTTTTTGAATTATCCATTCAGCAACAGGGAGTACCTCTTTCATGTGCAGTGCTAGATTCTGGAATATAAAGTTGAGTAAGGAAAGCACAGTCCATGTTTTCAAGATCCTAATGTACTCTGAAAGGTATTTAAAGAAGAATTTATGCAGTGTTGATAAAAATAAGGTAAATCCTGAAGAAAGAATTATCTATATCATAGTTATAGTTCTGTGTCTATTTACAGTAAGCTATTCATATGTCAAAGGTGATGTGTCCTCCTGATAATCTTTAATATTGATCTGATGGCTTGAATTATTTAAAATTGTTTTTTTTTTTTACACATTTTTACATTTTACTACTTTCCAAAGAGAGTAGAATGGAAAAGATTATGTGGCTGGTTGTAGATGGTATCATGACAAGATGTTTTTATATTATTATTATTTTGTTTGTTTTTAGGTGATGTTGGTAGGACTTGAAAATAGCAGGTGGGTGATTAGGGTGTAGGTCTGCATAACAAACAAAATTTTAGCCCTTTTTCCAGAAGCTCCTGAAAATATGTGTACATGATTTTTTGAACTATTTCAGTCTTAGCTTAAATATATTTCATAAAGTAACACAAAATACTTCATAGCTGACTTTTATAGATCTGACTAAACCACCAGGAAACATTTTTTAAATCAAATCTTCTAAATCTAACTTGTAAAAATCTTCAAATATTCTCAGTCTAATAATTAGAAAGTATGCCAGATGAAAATCTGGATTCCTTATCATTGTACTAAAGAATAGTTAATTTAAAAAGATAATGGCTTTCTTAAGTAGAGTTACATCAATTAAGAATTCTATACAATATTGACCATCCATGTCAGTCAAGAGTTAACATTATCCAAGTTGGAAGAGCTTCGGATACTTGGAGACTTTCCTAGGTACTCTGCTATACTGATTATAGGATTTAGAAAGTGTGTATAACTTGAGTTTGTTTTGCTATGTTTGAGGACCTACTTTTTCTACCACAGTAGTTCTCAAATTTCAAGGTCTCAGGACACCTATACACTCTTAAAATAATTGAAGACTCTAAGAGTTTTTGCTCATGTGGCTTTTGCTTATATTTAGTATTACAAATTAAAAAGTATTATTAATTTATTTTAAAATAGCATAAATCCATTATGTGATTACAAAATAATGTTTTCTCATGAAAAACAACTATATTCCAAAACAAAATATAATAGAGGAGTGCAATCATTTTGTAATTTGCAAGTCTTTAATGTCAAGCTTATTACAAGATTACAAGATATCTGGATTTTTATACCTGCTTCTACATCCAGTCTATTATGATGTGTGGTTTTTTTCTTTAAGTATAGGAAGAAAATTCATTTTTACATAAATACTTCATTAGAAAAAGGAGAAATGTTTTAGTATTTTTTTCTGATAGTTGTATATATTCTTTTTTAATCCTATACCAAAGCTCTATAGATAATATTTTCTTAAATGTTATTTGTAAAGTGAAATCTGAAGTCACACCCATGAATGGTTTATACTCTCTTAATTAAAATATATTGGTCTGTGTTATACTTTTGATTATTTTTTCTATGCATGACATTATGGAATGGTCATTTGTTAAATGATTGGTCCCTGTATGTATGTGTATCTTCCAAAATGGACATATTTCATTTTTTATTATCAAATATCTCATTTTAAAGTATTTGTAGTTTTATCAGAAACATGTTTAAGTATCAGGAAGCTGTCAAGCTCACAGAAGTGAAAACAAGTTTTTCAAAATTCTAATTTGTACTTGAAAGCTTGAATTTTATCACTGATGATACTTGCTATCAGATTTTTTTCTTGAATTTTAGTTCTTGTTTGAGAAACTGTTTGCTAAGTACCCATCACATAGTTTGCCATTTTTTAAAAGTAAAAATGATATTATGTGCAGCTAGTTTAGTTTGCAACTCAAACAATTGCATAATGTGCTTTTCTTAGAGCAACGTATTTAAGTATTCCATGTGTGTATTCTATATTTTGTCACACAAAACAGTAGTCTTGTACCTAAGGGTTGAGAGCTTTAAAAATTATTTTTTACTACTTTATCAAGGATATTTAACTTGAAACTGCATAGTGGTGAAGAATACAATGACTATTAGTACAGTTTGATAACTGCTGCACTGATTCATGTTTATAAGGCACCAACAATTGTATTCACCATGGTTTCTGCAATATCAGTACAAATAGTACTGTCATGAAAATAAATAGTTTTGACTTTGAGATCCCTAAAGGGGTGTCAGGAACCCCCAGGGGCCTGTAGACTGCATTTTGAGAACAGGTAAGCCCATTAAGCAGGTCACTGGTCCCCATCTTTCTTCTCATTTGTTAAAACCTACCCCTTATAAACCCATGGTTCCCCTGCTTCCCTTCGTACACATTGAATTCTAGTCCCATAGACTTATTTTTTTCCTATCCCTTTGATCTTTACCTGAAATATTCTTGCCCCCTTTACCTTTTGTAAAAATCTTGTTTTTTTTTTTTCAAGTATCAGCTTAAGTTCTTTTTATGCTCTCAGCTGGAAGTGATCTTCTCCAAACTCTCTCTATAATGCTTTGTTCACATCTTCCTTAAAGCACATGTAGCTTTATTGTATTTTTTCAGTGGGGGTTGAGGTTCATTCAAAGGGGAGAGAGTTTTTGACTTAATACCAGTGACTGCATCTTATTCATCCCATAGTACTTTATAGTACTTTAATTTAGCAAATTATTTCAGGATTGGTGAAATAATTTATTCAGCAAACATTTGACTGCTACTGTTTACTATGCCTTTTTCTGAGCACCATGAATAGAGCTTTAATCATGTTCCTGCTCTCATGGGGCTTGCTTTCTACTCTGCTTCTGTAGAGCTTGACTTCTGGTGCCTTCCGGATTTATTTAGGCTAGAAGAGCCTTTGAGAAACAGATTATTATGTCAGAGTTGCTGTTATTCATCTGTCCTGACTAATCAATTAATTCGTTTGAGAGAATTGTGAATGTTGATAGAAACTCTGAGGCTATATAGAACACTGGATTTAGAGTCTTGATTTTTTAAAATATATTCAGATATTTTTGCAGCACAGCACATAAACTTATAGTTCTTTTTTTTTTTTATGCTGGGAAGAGGATTTGAACCCAGCACCTAGTACCTACAAGGCAAACGGTACCCCTGAGCTATAATCCTTTTTTTTTTTAAGGTTGCATCTGGTTATGTTAATTAGTAAATGCATAGAGGATCCTTGAGGATGGATGGACTGTTTAAATATTCTGTGGCTGTGTTTTCTACATACTTTTCATTTTATGCTTATGTGGCTAATATGATTGTAGCAAAGATGTGTTCATTGTATATCTCTGTTTGAGAAGGGTTTTATTTTAAGGTTTTGGCTTTTTCCTTCTTTTTTTCTATTTTAGGCATTGACAAAGGATCCCCAGGATTACCCTGATAAGAAAAGCCTACCTCATGTACATGTTGCCCTCTGGATAAATTCTCAAGGAGGCAGAAAGGTGAAAGCTGGAGATACTGTGTCATATGTCATCTGTCAGGTAAATCATAATTCATAAGACTCATACCATTTAAGAATCCATAGTAAAATCCAGAATGCCATAGTGTCTTATTTACTAGTCTTCGAAATAATTGATCCTGTAAAGAGATGACTCAAAAGTCTAGCTAGTTTTACAGCGTTTAAAAAACATTTATTAGGGATGTGGTATGTTTTATTAGAAGTTTTATGAAATACTTAAGGGTTGTGTTTTGGTTCAGTGAAATTATTTTGGTGAGATATTTATAACAGTAGCTACTCTTTCAACCCTAAATTAATTTTAATGAAAATATATTATAGGCTGTGGGTGTGGCTCAGGGGTAGAACACGTACCTAGCATGCACAAGGCCCTGGGTTCTATCCCCAGCATCACCCTAAAAAAAGAAAGAAAGAGGCTGGGGTTGTGGCTCAGCAGTAGAGTGCTCACTTAACATGTGTGGGGCACTGGGTTTGATCCTCAGCACCACGTAAAAATAAAGGTATTGTGTCCAACATCAACTTAAAAAGAATATTTTAAAGAAAGAACATGCATGTAAGTTTGGTCATGTGTCCAGCACTATCCCTTTATAGCTCCTTAGCCTATATCAAAATAATTACTTGGAAAAAATATGAAATCTGAGATTATATGAAGGAAGGTTGAGAGACCCTAAAGATATACATTATGAAGAAAACACAGATGATCCAACCAGTTTCCTTTCTCTTTCTTTCTCCCTTCTCTCCCTCCATGGAGAGGGAGTGCCTGTTTGCTTTCTCCCTGTTTCTCCCTGTGTGAGGTACCTCTGATGAACTGCTTGGCCTTCTGAAACAGTTTTAAACCACTACCAGTTTCATTTGAGACTAGCATGCTGCTGACTGGGATTGAGACAGAGATATAGGACAGAAGAGCAGGGTTTTTTTTCCTTGAAAGCACTTGATTCTAATTGGAACAAAGAGCGCTGTCATCCTTATTCCTTGTTTAAAAAAAAAAAAAGTCAGAGTCATAAGTCTCTAACCAAATTGTTTGAAATTATTATGGTTTATTTGCCCCAAGGCATAATTCATCTGAATAAAATTTTTCTTTTAAATTATTATTAAGAATTTTATCCTGATTTTTATTGCATTGTTATTATAGTAAAGCATTAGATAAAACTTTAAATTCATTGCAATGATTGATTTTTGTTAAATCAGTGTGTTTTTAAACCACAGAGCTTTGTAAAAATTTAAAAGTAGACTGTTACTCTCTGCTACATACTGTAGATGATGTACATAACAAATGATATAAGTACATGGACAGGAATCAGCACTTGACTCTGTCTCCCTCCTAGGGTTACCCTTGATTAAGAACTGTTACAGAAAGCAAATTCCTGCAGGAAAATATTTCCATAAATGTCTGACTTGCTCAAGCCCTTAATGTGCTTTGCATATTGCCTCTGACAAGTCTCATCTCAAAAAAACAATTTTCATATTATGCAAATAAAGATTTTGGTAAATAGGTTAGTTTTTTTTTCCATTTATATCTTTACATACATGGAAAAGCTCTTAGATTTTTAATGACAGGACCAGATGATAGCATACAACTTTGAAAAAATTATCTAGGTGTGGTAAAATAGCATCTAATGATGAAATCAAGCCACAATCATAGTTTGGCTAAAGCACAGATGAAGAAAGCACAGATGATTCAACCAGTTTCCTTTCTCTCCTCCCTCCCTCCCTCCATGAAGAGGGACTACCTGTTTGCTTTCTCCCCGTTTCTGGAATGGAGACATATGCTAACTTACAAAATAGGATGATTAATGTATTTAAAAGTTTATATTCCTTGTCTAAATATCAGGTCTTAATGATTTCCTCTTCTTGGTCTTATTGCTATATAAAGGCTCAGTGATGATTCTAGGGTAGTACAATATGTCCAACTGTGTATATTTTTTGCATTTTCCATCCAGTGATAATAGGCCTTAACTTGTTTGCTTTTTTAAAAAATAGTTTATGAGGGCTGGGGTTGTAGCTCAGTGGGTGAGCACTTGCCTCGCATATGTGAGACACTGGGTTTGATCCTCAGCACCACATAAAAATAAATTAAATAAAGATATTGTGTCCATCTACATCTAAAAAAATATTTTAAAAATAGTTCATGATTCTTTTTATTATCTTATTCTCTTTAAATGCCCTAAGATAGGCCTCTATCTGTGGAGGAACATGCCCCCTTTCATCATGTGTGCTAACTAGAAGTTCCCACCACTTTTGCTTTTAAGCAGCCAAATTATTCTTTCTGTGTATCATAGCACAACTGTATTTTTAGAATAAGCTTGAAAATGTATGGAAACAAATTTTAGGAGGACTGTTTGCTGCCTTAAGCCAATGTGTCTTCTAAGGATAGCCTACCTCCTAAATAGGTTCTATTTTATTTAGATTTTACATTTAGATAACTTATTCAGACTATAAGTTCAGAGGATAATGTTTTGGTATCTAATTTATATTGTAGTTATTCTCTTGTTAAACATATAGGAATTATTTGCTCAGATCTTCAATTCTGTGTGTTCACTAATTTTAATCTTTTTTTTCTTTACTTTCATTGGTCATAATTATTCCATAAGACATGCCTTTAACACAACTGTCTTAAGGGGCTCACTTATCACTCATTTTACAAGTTTTTTCTGTTAGATCCCCACCAATAATGACAATATAATTTTGAGCTTCTGGTTGTCGCTGTGAAGTTCAGCAATTGCTACATGGGCACTTCAAGGAAAACCAACACTGCAACCTGTTTGTGCATATACCATGGGGTCTTGCTCCAGTTTGAGAATTAAGTCTCTGTGAGATATATCTTGACATAACCTACATGTTTTCCCAGTATAATATAGCAAACCTCGTTATCTAATCAATTCTGAATTCTTCCATATTTGAACTGACATAAGAAGTATGCTCAGAAATTTTCAATTGTTTTTTTTAAAAAATGTGCCTTTATATGAGAACTTCTAATGATATAATGGAAAATAACTCAAGTGCTTTTTTTTTTAGTTTTGAGATGCCAGCAAATGCTAGGCAGGTATTCCACCACTGGGCTATACCCCTAGCTCCCAAGTGCCTTTAAAAAATATTTTACCTCTAAATATTTGATTTAAACTCATTAAAAATTATTAAATGCCACTGGAAGCAGTGATGCAGGCCCGTAATCCAAGCTACTTGGGCAGCTGAGGCAGGAGGATTGCAAGTTCCAGGCCAACCTGGGCCACTTACAGAGCTGAGGATTTAGCCCAGGCACAGAATACTCCCAGGTTTAATTCCAAGTACCATAAAAAATTATTAAACTCAACAGAAAGCTATAACTCTATAAATCAATCAAATTTCACACATTAAAAGGCAGTCTGATCTATGTGGTGCTTAAAAACACTGCTTAAGGGTGTTTTCACACTATTTTTGTCCTTGACTGTTGCCTTATGTTCATCTGACAAACTTCTAACAAGCTTCTAAATGGGCAACAATTAAATTTGATTAATTCTATTCAATTCCTTTTACTATGTTGTGAACTCCTGAAAAATAATAAGCAAATTTTGAAATCTGAGGTTTACTTCCTTTCTACGTGTTTCACTGTATCTTAGAAGAGGTAGAACCCAGCTGACAAACAGACCCAGTTTGTTTTCATCCGGAGCTAGCCAGAGAGAGCGAGCCCTGCCTCTGGTCTCTGGTAAAGGCAGTGATATTGCCTCTGCTTTGGGCTGGATGCTGAGCTTAGATGGGACTGATAGTAGCAATAATAAATGAATAAGATTCACATCATATTCAATTCTATAGAGCAGCTGAGCACTGTGAATATTTATAATTTACTAGTTGAAATATTAAATTCTATTTCATATGAGAGGTAGAGTAAGTTGTTAGATGTTGATCTTATAGAGTGATGACTTTTTTGATTCACAGGTGATGACATCACCACAGAGCTGTATGTGGGCTAATTATATATAATTTCACAACTTTAATTTTTAGAATGAAAGAGAAAGCCCTTAAAAAGAGTCTCTGATCACCTTCCTTTCCAGTCCTTCATTCCAGTGGCCAGGTACTTGTTTTTTGAGCACTGCCACTCACCAGGATATTATTTTATATATATATATATATATATATATATATATATATATATATATATTTTATAGATAGAATTTTTTAATATTTATTTTTTAGTTTTTGGTGGAGACAACATTATTTTTTATTTTTATGTGGTGCTCAGGATCGAACCCAGCGCCCCCGTGCATGCCAAGTGAGCGCACTACCGCTTGAGCCACATACCCAGCCCCCAGGATATTATATTAATTGTATTTATACTTCTTATATAAATCTTGCATTATAACTTTCTATTCCATGGGTTTTATTCTACAATCTTTCCCCCTTGTTCATTTGCTTCTCAAGGATACATAAAGCTCTCATAGAAAATACTCTTCAGGGATTAGGGAGAGTCCTTTTAGATGGTATGTAGGCTGGAAAGGATAACATTAACAGAATTGTTACAATTTTTTTTTTAGTTGTCAATGGACCTTTATTTTATTTATTGATACATGGTGCTGAGAATTGAACCCGGTGCCTCACATATGCTAGGCAAGTGCTCTGCCACTGAGCCACAACCCCAGCCCAAGAATTGTTGCTTCTTTAAAAAGCCTTTCTGACTTGACTAATTGTTACCAAGTCTTCTCAATGAGTTTTTATGATATGGCAGGTGAAATTATTTAGTCTAGCCAGTGCCATCTTGTTGGTTTCATATTTTGACAAAACATAGAATTCAACACATGCTGAATTTATATTCTCAGACAGTTGATGAGATCGAGACTGAGAGGTTTTTGATTGTCCTTCCTTCCTTCCTTCCTTCCTTCCTTCCTTCCTTCCTTCCTTCCTTCCTTCCTTCCTTCCTTCCTTCCTTCCCTCCCTCCCTCCCTCCCTCCCTCCCTCCTTCCTTCCCTCCTTCCCTTCATGCCCTCTAGGCAAGCATTTTATCACTGAAGTACATCCCCAGCCCCTTGATCTTTCTACTCTGCTAAGATAAAGACGTGAAATAAAATGTTCAACAATAAGTCAAAAAGACTTCTTGGTGTTTGGAATTAAATTTTATGGATACATAAAATTTAAACTGTTGTCCCTCTGATCAAGCAAGTGTGTATTATTAAGTCACTCACAACTTTACCTGTCCCTGTTTTCTTTTAGGACGGGTCAAACCTCACTGCAAGTCAGAGAGCCTATGCACCTGAACAACTGCAAAAACAGGACAATTTAACCATTGACACCCAGTACTACCTGGCCCAGCAGATTCACCCAGTTGTGTCACGAATCTGTGAGACAATAGATGGAATTGATGCAGTGCTCATTGCAACATGGTTAGGTAGGTATCCCAGACTCTAGTATACTTTCACAGTGTAACAGTGGTATATACAGTCCTTCTTTGTTAGGATGCCTATTTATGGGTACAGTATTGTGTCTGATACTTCTTTGTTTATGGTTAGACATTTATTTTTGTTGTTGTTTGGTTACTGTCTCCCCTCATAGACATGTGTTTGCTATATCTGTAACCTCATGCCTGCTCTACAGTTGGCACTCAGTGAGTAAATGCTGAGGCAAAAGAAAGGCTGAACATAAGATTTCAAATACCATTAGTCACTGAGCTTACATCATTGTAAGTTTATTTATTAAGGATATTGATGATGTCTTGCTTATTGATTAATCTTATCTATTTCTAAAGGTATTTTCATGTGAAATGAGAATTTATCTTATCATAAAATTTTTAATTTTAATTTTCTTTCAGTGTCCTCTTCTCACTTTAAGTTGGCTTGCTATTATTCTCTAGGCTTGCTATTATTCTCTGGGAATTGACTGATCCCTAATTTCTCCTCAGCTATCCTTGAGACCTCAGTGTTTTTGCAGCATCATCCCTTTGTGTATCACTATTATTGTCATCCTTTGCTTAGAAATTTATTTCTCAACCAGCCCTAATTACATTTCTAGACAACCAGCACATGTTCCATTACTTTTAAGGTCCTTGTTCTCTAGTTTGTTGTGCACTAAGTCGAATGTTTTTAGAGTACTATCCTTAGTGGCTCCTTGCTGTCAATAAGTCAAATCCAGATGCCACTGTCATCTCACAGACTCTAATTCTGGCAATTATAGACTAACCTCCAAGCTCCAACCTGTATTTCTAGCTTTATATCTTATTCGGTCTACACTACATACCCTAAATAAAGCATTGCACATTCTGGCTTTGCTTCATGGAATATTCTCCTTTCACTACAATGTATCCCTTAAATCATGGGCTTTGGCATCATAGGGACCTGAATTTTAATGCTAGTTCTACTATTCATAAACCTTGGTCTACACATTGGTTTCTTGAAAGGTAGAATAGAATTACTTAGGGGGAATAAGATGTGTATGAGGTGGGTAGGAAAGATGGTAGAATTAGATGGACATTATTACCCTAAGTACATGTATGAAGACAAGAATGGTATGACTCTACTTTGTGTACAACCAGACATGAAAAATCATGCTCTATATGTATACTATCAATTGAAATTCATTCTGCTTCCTATATAGCAAATTAGAATAAATAAATAAATGAATAAATTTTAAACAAAAAGATGTGCATGGGGCAAAGGGAGTGCTCAGTGAACAGTGTTGTAGCCATCTCCCAACTTCCTTTCAAATTTCAGTATAAATATGTCCAAACTCCTCTGGTCTTCAGGATTTGCACATATTACTCAGTATACCTTTGTGGAATGAGATTGGTTTTTCCATAGGTGATTATTGAGGCATGTATTTTCTATTCTGGCCCTGTTGAGTATGTTTCTGAACTCATTCCTGCCACCCCCATCCCCACTATTCCATCAGTGTCTTATCTGGAAGTGGAAACTCATTTTTGACATTTGCCTAAGCAAAACATAATTAGGAAGATAAAATTCTGCTACCAAAATAATCATATAATGTATTCTCCAAGTTGAGTTGTATTTGATGATGTTTATAAATCCTCAGCTGGGAGGAGGGGACTATAAATGCATGATATATTTTAGCCTCATTTTTTTCCTCGTATACATTGAGTGCTTCCTCTGTTGGATGCTGTGATAAGTACTTTGCATATCTTATCTCATTCAGCCCTTGCCACAACTTCATGAAGGTATGTCATATTAGTTCTCTTTTATAGAGAAGGAAGCCAAGACTTAGAGAAGTAACTAACTTGGTCTTGTCACATAGGTAGTAAGTGTTCAGCTTTTATTAGATTTTAAACAATGTGTGATTCTGAAGATTCTATTCTTAACCACTGTGCTAAACTTTATTGCAATAAATAGTGTAGCTCTGAGAGGCTAGAAAAGATGTTCTCAACCACATTGCTATGGTGTGGATGTATAAGCATGTGGAGCTTCATCTTTTTTTTAATGATTTTTTTAGTTTATAGATGGACACAGTATCTTTAATTAATTTTTTTTATTTTATGTGATGCTGAAGATCCAATCCAGTGCCTCACATGTGCAAGGCAAGCGCTCTACAACCCTAGCTCAGGGAGCTTCACACACACCTTTATGTTCCCCATGAAAAGCTAAAGCAAAGCTGCTTGTTTTTGTTTTTGTTTTTTGTTTTTTTGGTACTGTGATTGAACCTGGGGGTGCTTAACCACTGAGCCACATCCCCAGCCCTTATTTTGTATTACATTTAGAGACAGGGTCTCACTGAGTTGCTTAGGGCCTCACTAAATTGCTGAAGCTGGCTTTGAACTCACAATCCTCATGTCTCAGCCTCCTGAGCCACTGGGTTTACAGTTGTGGGCCCGGCTAAAGCTATTTGTTTGTTTGTTTATTTATTTTTGTGGTGCTGGGGATTGAACCCAGGGATTTGTGCATGTGAAGCAAGCACTCTACCAACTGAGCTATATCCCCAGCCCTAGAGGTATTTTTTTAAAGCTAAATTTTTCCATTTGTGGAGTCAAGAACCTGGTGTGAAGGCAAACTGCTGCCCTTTCCTTCTTTGCTTTTGAATCTTCTAGTGACCAAGTACTAAAAGGGGTAGATGGAAAAGCCCCAGCTCATGAATGACATTTAAAAGAAGGAAGTGCAAAGCACTGCATTTTAACAAGAGAACTGGACTGCAAAGGGTGATGGAGCCTGCCTGGGTGAATAGGCCCAATGTATCAAGATCGGTGATACCGAGAGAGGCCCAGATGCTGTGGTCTGGTTCCGGAAGCCATAGTTTACATTATTTTTGTTTATAATTTGAACAGGGATCAGATTTTGAGGAGAGGGTTCTAGGGACTGAACTCAGAACTTTGTGTGTACTAAGCACACATACTGCCACTGAGCTATAACCTGAGCCAATACAGGGGGCAGAACTTTACTTGCTGAAAGGTACTTTATCATGACTGTGGCTGCCTGATGATCAAATTTTTGCAAATTGTTTGCAAAGTCAGTAGTGGACTAATTGGTCCCCTTTTTAAAGGTTTCACATTATGTCTCATTACCGGCCAATCTCAATCAATAGAGGGAGCATTCAAGACTTGACACAGTCCCACTATATACCCATTTCTCTCCCTCCAGTGACAGTATGGACACTATTGTGGACAGCCTCTTCTTGGTGCCATGTAGCCAGTTCAAACTGATGGAAGGGCATGTGTCTTGAGCCTTGGAGGAAGTGCTGCTACTCCCCCTTTTCAGCTGCCTTTTCTTATTTCTGTCACTTAAAAGTGTTTTTTTTTTTTCCTGAGTATGTTTGAAATTGTCATCACTGTGTAGTCCTCTCCTCCTTTTCTTGTTCTTTACTCCTATCCCACCCCTGCCAGCCCCAGCAGCATATACATATCCATCTATACTAGCAATAAATCTTTTAGTATTTTTTTTCCTTTGTGATAACTGGGGGTTAGACCCAGAGCCTTGTGTGTGCTAGGCAAGCACTCTACCACTGAGACACATCTCAGCCTCATGGTTTAGTATTAATGAAGTACATACCTAGAAGAAAACATTGAAGCTCACCAGGCAGATTTCTGCAGGCATTTATTTGCCTCTGCCCTATCCAGTAGCTGAATTTTTATTTGTACCCTTTATTTCTCAATTCCTAGTGAAAAGTTAGGGTGGCTATTCCCTTGGGGCTTTTAGGCCCCCGTTATCAGTTCTCCTACAGCTTACAGTTTTAGAGATGGGGAGGGCGGAGATGGGGAAGTGGTGGCAAAGTAAGGGGAGTGTTAGGGGGTTCGTGGTTTCTAAGAGGTACAAGCTGTAGGCATAAAATTACTGTAATTTGTTTTAAAATTTCTAAATCTGTTTTCTTTATATAAAAAAACTGCAGTTAGTGAACTGACACTGTTAAATAAGTTGAAGTGTACAAATGTATACATAAAATACAAGCCCTCCAACTGCCTAATCACAGACATAAAATAATTCTCTTGCTTTTAATGTAGTTTTTATCTTTGATTAATGAAATGTATTACAGTGTTGAAACTTTAGAGAAGTTTGATACTTTGTCCTTTTAGTTAGTACAAAGAAATCAGGAATAATGGCATAATTTCATTTAGGAAAATTATTAAGTTCATGATTTTTTATTTTTAAGATTCTTTTGTGGAGAGCAACTATATTTTTCAACTACCTTTTTCTTTTTCTATTGCTTTTATACTGCTTTCCTTGAAATGAAAGGCAAGCATCAAGTGTTGGTTTTATCCTGTGGCTTCATTTTGGAAATTCTCTTTCTCCCCGTCAAGATACCCCCTGAAGTCTGTCTGGTGGCATGTTGCATGGCCAGGTATTCCATATGGGAAGTCCATTTTAGTGAAAAGAAGAGAGGATAGTCTATTAAGTGAGTGAATGAATAAGTCTGTGGAGTTGAATAAGAATAATTTGTTCTCTCTAATAACTAATGGTCCTCATTATCCTACTGCAAAATGTGTATCATTTTTCAGAAACCCATGCAAGAGTATTGCTATTGGGTTTAAATAAAGCAAAAATTTTACTCTTTTTCCATCTATGAATAGGAAAAAATATAGTATTACTCTTCTTATACAATAGCCCTATGGGAAACATGGCCACTAAAACTTGGAAATCTTAGCTTTTGTTCTCCAGACTGTAGGTTTTTCTTTCTCTCTTGTTCTAGTGGAAGCTCCCTATGTTCTGTGGATGAAATATTCACAGTGTGCTCAAACATCCAGTCTTCTGTACTTAGCAAACCAGGCTAGTGATGAGAATAGTCTAAAAGTTCATTCTTGAATTTCATATTTTAATAAACTTATATTTCATGCATACCAGTACTTAGAATTATATATAATATCTTTCCTCCAATGAGTGATGAATTGCACAATAACTGTAAAATACATTTCTTTATAATCAGTGATAAAATTTCAGGTATTTGGCTATCAAGACA